TAAAGAAATACGTAGGCTTTAGGTGGGCATGCATGGAGTTCAGGATGCCCACAAAGGAATCTACGAATATGGAAACTGTACTGGGGCTTTGCATGTCATTACACTAACATGCTCGATAAATGCGTAAATGGGTGGGATTTCCTAGATAGTCACGTGGCCCATGTCTACAGCTGAGCTTTGCACAACTATGTTAAATAAGGTAGAACATCTTAATTAGCTAGTTGCCTTTCCTGCATCCTTGCGTACAACGTGTATACTTACACTGTGGTCATAATTATGACCTTTAATTGTGGAAAAGTTGTTTTTTGTGACGGTGTACAGCTGTTTCCCTTGATGTTTGATTGACTTTTGTTACGTTATCATCCAAATTCTTTGAGCTTCCAGCATTTCAGTATCACTTGTGGATTTTTCAGTGAATTCATTCAAAACCTGGTTGTGATGGTTTTAACTGATTGCACCATGCTTTGCCATTTAGTGCAACCTCATTATAGAACTGCAGATATCTTTCACTCCAATCTTCGTAACTTAATAAAGTTCATGTTCCCTGTGGTAATTTTTTTTTTTTTTTTAATTTTATTTTGCAACTCAAAATCGTGATTGTTTTGGATTAGCAATATATTTTTCTGTTACCTCTTTGCTTGATGATTGATATAAGCGAGTAATTTGTATCTTTTTCGGAATATTGCAGACTGGAGAATCCCGATTTCATGGCCTCGATCAGATTCGCTACACCAGAGACCAGTTGTTACAGCTAAGGGAGGTAATGCTTCTTCTTGATGTTTACAGAACTGTTCTTGTGGTATTCCTTGATTGATTTCTCCAACTGCATGCTGCCATTTGCTTGACCAAATAATTTTGTTCATACTCTTTCCACTACGTGTGGGACACATTAGAATTTACGATTCTTCATTTCTTTAATGGATCTGATATCGCTGTTTATTTTTCATAGGTGGCTATCATCCCAGAGGACATTCTGAAGGCCAAACAAGAGGTTGATGCTGAATTTTTTGGTGAAGATCCAAGCTGGGCTCATGGAGAGAGCAATGTGAGTCTCTTTCTTGTCTCTGAGGATATGCCACACCTTCCTATTATTACGTAACTGTTTTATAATCTTTGTGTTGGTTTTCTTTTCTTTATTATTATTATTTTTTCTTTCTGGATTTATGTTTGCATTTTATTTGGTTAGCCTGTTGATATATCTGTTGGAATTTTATAAGAGTTGGTAAAGGTCAACTCATTATTTTTTATTTATCTAATTTTTCTATCTTCTTTTTATTATCAAACTTCTTTGATACAAAATACTTGGACGGTTTCCCTTTGTGTAGCTTCAGAATCAGGGCCAGAGTCGCTATTCTCAGCCGGACAGCCGTGACTGGCGTAATCGGTCTGCACAATTTTTTGCTCCTGCAGAGGAGAGGTCCTGGGAGAGACAACAAGATACAAACCAACAATATAAGCAAGAACAACTAAGCTCACAGTTTGCAAAAGCACAAATCTCTTCCAACCAAGGGGTAATTCATTTTCTGCTGTAGTATGCATTTATAATATCACAAAACGGCCGCTGTATTTCTTTCTCATGGTTTTGTTGGTTAAACCCCAAGTCATTCTGCATTGCCTTGAATATATAGACATTATGACAACTATATTTAGGCTTGAAACTTCACTCTGTCAAACACGTTTCTATAATGAAAATTTTCTCAGCAATATTTTTCAAATTTATGCATTATTTATCTGGAGGAGATAATGTGTACGGATGATGAGAATAATTGTTCTTACTACTTAGATTTATTGGACTTGTGTGTGATTTAACTGTGCTCTCGATGAAGTTGCTTTAAGAAGTGGGTAAAAATGTACTATCTAATGTAATCTGACTACATGCTTTATGACGTTAATTGGCTTCTTCATTATGTTGAATTTTATTATGCCAACTATCATTTAACCTACAGTTAAGATAATAGTGAGCAACTTCTTTGTCTATGAAACAGGGAGGACCTACTCCTTTAATCAAGGCTGATGTGCCATGGTCAGCTCGGAGGGGAACTCTTTCTGAGAAGGAGCGTGTCTTGAAAACAGTGAAGGGGTAACTTTCTATGTAATGCATTTTATGTGTATAAATGCTGTTCTTGATATCTGATTGACTTCTTTTGTGCCTAATTTATTGAACTTAAAACACATTTGTATGTTTAATTGATACTTCATTTAAAAGTTCAAGTCTTGAGCTGTCAACAACATTATTTTTGTATCCAAATTCTTTTCAATTGACAGAAGGCTCATGATCTACATCTAGTGCTACATATGGTGACGCTAGCTTTTGCTAATACAATGAAGACAATTATTTCCTGTTCAGATGTCCAAGCTAGGATCCCATAGTGATGACAATATAGATGGCTGTTTGTTTTGCACCTGTTATTCTAGTTGTAGCATTATTTCATGATGTACTTTTTAGGTAAAACATATAATGCTTATCAACACGTTTTTGTTGCAGCATACTGAACAAGCTGACTCCTGAGAAATTTGATCTTCTCAAGGGTCAACTTATTGAATCTGGGATCACAACAGCTGATATTTTGAAGGTTTGTAAACCTAATTTTCTGTGCTCCTTTATGTCTTGATTTACTTGTTGCCTAATTATGCTGGTACTTCTGTTTTATTTTCTCTACAGGGAGTCATCTCTTTGATATTTGAAAAGGCTGTGCTGGAGCCAACATTTTGTCCCATGTATGCACAACTGTGTTATGATCTGAATGAGAAGCTACCTCCCTTCCCATCTGATGAACCTGGCGGAAAAGAAATCACATTTAAGAGAGTTCTTTTGAATATCTGTCAGGAGGCATTTGAAGGCGCTGACAAATTGCGGGCAGAGCTCAGGCAGATGACTTCCCCTGAGCAAGAGTTGGAAAGAAGAGATAAGGAAAGGTTGTTGAAATTCCGTACTCTCGGCAACATTCGCCTAATTGGAGAGCTTTTGAAGCAAAAGATGGTTCCGGAGAAGATTGTCCACCACATTGTTCAGGTTCTCAGTGGATCTCTATCTCCCCCTCTCTTTTTCTGTTCCTAAAATCTTGATCTGTATTATGTCTTACAACATGGTTTTGCAAGACAGGAACTCATAGGACCTGATACGAAGAGTTGTCCCGCTGAGGAAAATGTTGAAGCCATATGCCAGTTCTTTATCACCATTGGCAAACAGCTTGATGAGAACCAAAAATCAAAGCGTATTAACGATATGTATTTCGGTCGGTTGAAGGAAGTGTCAACAAATCCTCAGCTAGCTCCACGACTGAGGTTTATGATTCGTGACGTTCTTGATTTGCGTTCAAATAATTGGGTTCCCAGACGGGAAGTGGTGATCCCTCTTAACCTATTTAATGGCTTCCTACCAGGTTTTCGTGTGCAAACTTTGATTTTGTTTTGTGATTTTCCAGGTGAAAGCCAAAACTATCACTGAGATTCATTCAGAAGCAGAGAAGAATCTTGGGTTGCGCCCAGGTGCTACTGCTAGCATGAGAAATAACAGAAACATTGCTTCTGGGCCTCAAGGGAGTATTAGTCCTGGCGGCTTGCCTATTAATCGCCCTGGTGCAGGTGGCATGATGCCTGGAATGCCAGGGACGAGGAAGATGCCTGGTATGCCTGGATTTGATAATGACAACTGGGAAGTTCCTAGGTCTCGATCAATTCCAAGGGGTGATGGTTCAACAGTTCAGCCTGCTGGGCGCGTCCAACCACCATTGATGCAATCACCATCCTTAAACCAGCGATTTCTGCCTCAGGGTAGTGGTGGTTTCATGAGTAATAGAACTAGTGCTCTCTTACAGGGCAGTGGTGCACCTCCTGTTCGTCCTGCTAACTACGGAGCATATGCTGGGGGCCCTGGATCACAAGTCCCAGCCCCAACTAGACCCACACCAGCAGCACCAGTAACTAACAAACCTGCAGCTCCTGCTGCAATAAAGAATCCAGATGAACTTGGGAGAAAAACGATTTCGCTTTTGGATGAATATTTTAGTGTCAGACTTTTGGATGAAGCATTGCAATGCATTGAGGAACTGAAGTCCCCAGCTTATCATCCTGAAATTGTCAAGGAAACCATTTCCCTTGGGTTGGAGAAAAGTCCACCTTGTGTAGAGCCAGTTGCAAAGCTTTTAGAATACTTGTTTGCTAAGAAGGTTTTTACTGCCAATGACTTGGTCACTGGATGCCTCCTCTATGCCTCACTGTTGGATGATCTTGCAATTGATTTACCAAAAGCACCGGCCAATTTCGGTGAGATAGTCGGGAAACTAGTTTTGGCTGGCGGGCTCGACTTCAAGGTGGTGAGGGAGATTCTGAAAAAGGTGGGTGATGGCTTTTTCCAGAAAGCCATATTCACCACTGCAATGAGGATTGTTAGCTCTGATCCTGCTGGGAAGGGGGTGCTAGATTCACAAGGATTCGATATTGAGGCCTGTGAAAGCCTACTTTAGGGCTTATTCATTGCAGGAATCATCTGTAACCTCACAGATTAGTTGTTCCCTTGCTTCAGTTACCGTGTCTTCTCATTACTGATCACTCCCATCCAAGCCCGAGTAATTGTGGTAAACCTGATGAGGATGTGGAGCTGTAAAGAACAGGTGATGTTTAGTGGGCTCTGTATAATTTTCTTTGAGGTCATAGTAGTGTGTTCATTGAAGATATAACAACATAAAGATTTTGGTTCCCCAGTTGCTGGAGAGATAAAGGAACATGTTTTGTATTTGATTAGTTTTTATTTCTCAGACTTGTTAATTGAAGTTTTGACTGACGTATAAGCTCATAATGCGAGCATGGACAATTTTAAACGAGAATGCCTTGTTGTGTTGATTTTGTTTGCAATCAATCTCTGGTTATTTTCTTGATAGATTATGCATGTTTTGCTGTCCAACCTTCACCAGTTCGCGCATTGCTGCAGTTTGACAGACTTCTGTGTTGGTTTTGGTGGCAATCATTGACAACTACCTAATCCTAATACTGTCACAGTTCTATCGGTGAGTGCTACCGACGACTACAGCCTTCTGTTGTCGACTATTGCTGCTACTGTTCACAGATACACTTGGATATGTTAATTTTTGTTCTTATAAATTTTGACAATAAAGTTAAAGTTACTTGCAACTACAAAATATAATCAAGCATTATTTACGATTCTATTGAGAAGAATATATGGAAATACAAAATTGGTAAACTGAACCAACTATTTATTACCAGTAATCTTTACACGAACACTCTCCTCCTTTGAAATGGTGGAAGCGATTCCTATCCCTTATTATGATTTCTTGACCATAAACCTTTGAGATCAGCTTACTGGATTGATGACAGTCTTTACAGATTCGCAAATTCTTAGTTATACGAATAACGTTGCCCGGCTTCGTCTTTAACAACCCGAAAGCAATGGCCAATTTCTCACTATGATAGTATAACGGATTTTCTCTTTCCTCCTCACCAGTATCATACAACACCTCATCAGTGTCCGGCAAATAGCCCACGGCTCTAATGGAATCCAACATTTCCTCAGCTTTTGCATATATCTCTTTAGCTTCGGGATGAGCCCTTCCTCCCGCAATAAATTCATTAACTGCACCTTCCAATTCGATTGCAGAACACCCCGGGGCCTTTTTAACTCCTCGGTCATTCATCAGCTTCCTAATGTTTGCTACATCTTCCCATCTGCCAGCACGGGCGTAAAGATTAGCCAACAGTACATAACGCCCACTGTTGGTAGGCTCGAGTTCAATCACTTGCCTCCCTATCTCCTCTCCCAGATCAATATTGCCATGGATTCTACAAGCCCCGAGAAGGGCACCCAAAACACCCACATCTGCCCTCATAGGCATCTCGTTTATTGCTTCCCTTGCTTCTTCTAGCAATCCGGCTCTTCCAAGCATATCCACTAGACATCCATAATGCTCCATCCCAGGCTTGATGCCATACACTTCAGACATGTAACGGAAATAATATCGCCCTTCTTCAACAAGCCCTGAATGTGCACAAGCACTTAGTACATTCACAAATGTAATATAATCAGGAGTGATGTTACTTTCGTTCTCCATTTTCTTAAAGAGTTCAATGGCGGCCACGCCTTTACCATGTATTGCCAATCCTCCAATCATGCAATTCCAAGATGAAATCCCTTTACTTGGCAATCCATTGAACACCTCAAAAGCCTTGTCAAGACTACCACATTTACAATACATGTCAATAATTGTCGTTGCCAACTTTGAGTCCACGTCAATCCCACATTTCTTAACATACTCATGTATCCACTCACCTTTATCCAATGCTCCTAATCTCGTACAGGCAGCCAACATACTTGCAGCCACAAAATTATCCATCGACACATTTGCTTTTCTCATTCTATCGAATAAATCAAATGCCTCGTAAAACCGGTTATTTTGCACATAAGCTGCTATCATAGCATTCCAAGCAGCAGAGTTTTTAACCGGCATTGACTCAAATAGATCAAAGGCTTCATCAACACATCCCCATTGAGAATATCCACTCATTAATGTAGTCCAAGAAACATCATCTTTCTTATCCAAATTATCAAACAGCCTTTTAGCATCCTCCAAGCAATTAAAATTCACATACATATGAATCAGATTATTTTGACAGAAAGAATCTGATCCGAACCCAAGTTTCATCACATGAGCATGCACTTGCTTTCCTTCTTTGACCTCAAAGTTAATGCAACAAGCTCTAATAACCGGAGGGAAAGTAAATTTATTCGGCACAACAAAACTTTCCAACATACGAGTATACAGAACCATTACATTTCCATATAAAACTGATTGTAAATAGCCTCTGAGGATTGTGTTATAAATAAACGTATCTGGATTAGGCAAGCAGTCGAACACCTTTAGGGCATAGCTTAATTCTCCCGGTTTCGAGATAGCACAGAATTTGATGACACGCCCCATAGCATCATTATCTAGTGACAGTCCAAGTTTAATTAATTGGGCGTGGCATTGTTTCAGCTCGGCCATGGTAGAGCAGGACTCAAGACCCTTTAATGCTGTGGCCTTGTATGAGGTTAAAGAGGGTTGGACAGTAGCTTGAAGGAGCTGGATTGAGGCCATTAGTGCCTGCACTGGAACTATATTTTCGATTTTGATCTTTTCTTTCTGGGTTTTACTGGAGAATTTGAAGACAGAATTTGATGATGCTCAGGCTTACTGGGTTGTCATTCGTAAAAATTTCATCTTCAGTTTTTCCCATGAAAATGGAACAATTTCTGTGGCTATTGGGGCTTTGATATTTTGATTAGGGTAAATCTTGGATAATAAAGGGAGCAACAAAAAGTCTCTAAGAATAGATAGATGCTTAGATAAAATTGTTTACTGGGTACTCGACGTACATATTGAGAACCGTAGGGGTGCCATACCTAAACTTGTGATGCATTCGTGAACTTGTCATGCAAACTTGAGTTTGTGATATATACATGAATTTGCCGCGTGCGTTCTTGAACGTGCGATGCATATAAGCCACGATTAACAGAGAGTTGGCGCGAATGTTCAGATAACAAGATAGATGACGTTACAACAGATGACAATCTATGAGTTAAGAACTCATCGACAAGTTATTGCTTTGAGTTCCACGTTAATTTTACGATGTAGTCGAAATTGTTTCGACACTCCTGTAAAATAATTGATGAGTTTGAAGATGATGGCTTCTAAAAGCATGTTTGGGACTATTTGTAATATGTTTAAATTATAAATAGATAAAAACAGGTGGTGGATAAGTTAATATAGCTTGTAGACCACTTGAAATATATGGATAAAAAGTTGTTTTGAGTGTTTATAAACAGTTTATAAATATAAGCCAAAAACAGGTTAAGATATTCGAATTCAAGGTAACATGTCCAAAACTATCTCCTACACTAGATCCCGTCGGTAGATTGCACTGCCCTCGCCTGGCAGCTGCTTCTCTAGCCACCATGCTCTTGGAGGTATTCCATATGGTTCATCGTCAAATCCTTTGATTGGAAGCACAAGGCTTGTGACAAGGCTATCCAACGTATCCAACTCTGATTCTTGTTCGATCATCAGAGTGGCATTTTGTTGTATCAATGCATCATCTGTTATGACAACTGTGTCATCTTTTCCCGTCATTGAAGTTCTTCGACAAGGACTCCATAAGAAAGTAACCATGGTATTGAAGGCATCGTCAAAAGCGTGACGTTGACTCTAATACCAATAGATATAGTGTGAGCACCAAGAACACAGAATAACACCTTAATCTAGTTTTGTTATTTCCATAGAATGTTGAGAAAGATCGAAGATCGGAAGAACTCCAATGTTTTATGAAATTAAATCAAAACAATCATATAACAAATAACCCTTATTCTAGCTTTAAATGATAAATAAGAAACCATCACTTAATTTTTTAAACAAACACAAACTCTAGTGGAAATTAATCTATATAAATAAAACTCCTAATAAAGTAAAAGCACTAACAAATGAATGAATTATGTAATTTCTGACAGAATAAAAAATCACAAATTGTACTACTTATTCATTAGATTTTGGCCCAAAAACCAATGGGTTCAAGGGATTAGTCTAAGGATTTTGCTACCTTGACAAGAAAATTGCAACAGATACGGTGATATAATCCCAATTGGTAACATATAATTTGATAGAGATGTTGACTTTGTTTAAAATAGTTCAATGATAGGATGTCAGAGAAATATTTTTTTCATTATATAAATAACTTCTCACTAATAATAAATTTACTCAATCGTGATTTTATTACTTTTAAGGTAAATTTTCCACTTATTAGTGTATTTTTACTTATAAGTTATTTTTATTATTTTCTTTATTCCTTGGGTTGAACTGGTGAATTTTTTCATCTTTTTATTATTTAATTTCTCAATTATGTTTGGCTAAATAATTAGTTAGGATGATTGATGTAGTTTAGATTTAATATTGATATAATTTCAAAGATTCCATGCAACTTGATTATGTGTTAATTGCTTATTGTGTTTGTTTCATTCAATTATTTAATCATCGGTTGTTTGATTTAAGAACAATATTGAGATCAAGAAGACATATATTTGTCTAATTCGTGCAATAAGTGGCGTATGTGTTATAAGAGAACGAGAGATGATTATAGGCTATACAATCTTGATAGAATTCTCACAATTGAATTTATATAGAAATATAGTAAATTCGGATATATGAAAATTGTTAGTTTTGCTCGAGAGAGATTACTAAGTTAAACTGGTTAATTCGATTGTTAATATATATGAAAAATGGGTTGAATGAATGTTAATTGACGTAGGTGAAATAAGAATTCCTAACCACCTGATTAATTTAAATTAGTTTTAGTTAAAATCCCTGTTTGATTTGATAAACTTTTACCACATCAATTTAGATTGAAGTTAGGTTAGAATAAAAATTGATAGTAAATAATAATCTTCGTAAGAATGATATTCGGACTAAAAAATTTACTTTATTATTTGTCACGATCCGTACACCTATGAAATCAATCGATCAACAATCCATACAGCTTCTGCACTGCGGTTATCATTATTGGGAAGAGTGCCATCTACTCTATTATTAGCCATCAAGCTAACCGAATCCTTACTCTCATACCACCTAACGCGTCAAGAAATAATAAATAGGGAAGAACGCGTCTAACCTAAATAAATATAGACTCAATCCACTATGAATATAACCTAAATAAATTATATTCAACTGAAATAAGAATCAGAATGTTTCAATAAAATAAAATAAGAATCAGAATGTTTTAAACTCTCGCTTATATTATAACTTCAACTAATAAAATAAATTCCCAACAAGTTCCAAGTTTATTTTTTGAATTTCCTTTTTATTGGAACGACTTCAATGACATCCTACGTCAAGTTGGAGCTGGATCTGGACTTAAGAGTTGGAGCTCGAGTTCGAGCTCGAGCTGGACTTGGATTTGGAGCTTGAGCTGGACTTGGAGCTGGACCTTGTTGAAGAGCCTGGCACCATGATAACAACACCTCAGCATTTTCCATGAATTGGTCAATTTTAAATCTCTGTCAAAGATTTCTCCATATATTTACTAAATTTTCTTAAATAATTTGCAAATATATGAAATGTATATCAGAATCAATGTTTCTTACACAACCTTTCTTCACGAAAATTGTCTTGTGAACTTGTTTACATGTATCATATTATATACATTGATGAAAAGCAAGTACCTTTGCTGAACCTTTCTTTGAAGGAACTTTGACACACAAAACGGTACCCTAATCCTAAACTTTTGGGGAATCATTTGACATGATCAACCCACAAGTTTTACCTTTTTTGTTTGCATAATTTAATGTGAAGACAAACCCATAGGGTTTAAATAGAAAGGTTGCATGAAGGAAAAGATAAAGGAAAGTAGATACAATGGAAAATATAGCATCTAAAGCTCATCATTCAAACATATTTGAAATTAATAACCGAACAAATGAAAAGTATCGCTTTATAATATGACCATACATTTCAATGGTAGGTACATTATGTTCATGGTAACTTTTACTTAGTGTCAATCAAGTAATTGTATTTCATTTCTTTTTCGATCAGGTAATTATTCTTTAATAATGTCGATTGAATAACTGTACTTCAATTTGATTTAAATTAGGTAGTCACACTTTGATTTTGATTTTAATTAAGGTAACTTTACCAACGTTGCAGTCAATAAATGATGATTATCACACATAACTATTAACAGTAACATAGAATAAGTAAAACTTTAGTGAAATAAATGATGATCATCGTTACTGACCGGATTTCAATTAGTCCAAGTGATAAAATTGGATTGAGTTAGCTGATTGAATTCAAATTAAAGTGTAGTTATCCAATTGAATAAAATTGAAGTATATGTTTTTCCTAGTGATCCATTTATTAAAACAAGTTGACGAAAATAAACTGCATAATGTAACAAGGCGGTGCAAAACTACATGACCTACAAATTATGTAGAAGTGCATGATCTTCTGTACCATAAAAATGAATGCCTTGCACATTTCCAATGATATCAAACCAGAATATAGACAAACCAATATCAGAATGTTCTACTTTCGGTTCTGGCGTTCCATTACTTGGCTCTATAATTATATATTTCTTGGCGCTTGCACCAGCTCCATCAACCTGCGAAACAAGTTAAATCTTCTCTCATATTCAGTTCATTTCTATTGAAATATAAGATTGTAATATATTGAGACCTACTCTATTAACCTCCAGTTGATGCTTCTTTGAAATCTGTTGCTGGAGTGGGCTGTAAGAATGATTATATATTGAAGAAAAGATTAGTTATACATTACTAAACAAAATTAACAAGCTTCCATATTAAAAAAACAACCTTGACAAGAAAGAAAATATTAACTTGGATCATGCAATTTCCTTGAAACAATTTGAAAGAATCGATTTCCTTTGTGAAACAATAAACTGGTTGAAAATTCAATTTATCTTTGAGATAATGAACTTTAGAGGGTACCTGAAATTGCTTGAAGAGGGTAGCATTTGAGCTAATTGAGCAATATTAGGAAGTTGTGAGTTGGACATCGAGTTCAAGGCAGGAAGCCTGGGAAACTCTTGCTTGCACACTTTTCCAGATACAAAATTTGGCATTGGTTGTCCATGGTTCATATTGAAGCCTTGACTAATAGGAAAATGTCCAAACTCATCCTGGTTCATTCTGGGACTAGCCCTTTTCAGCAAAGCATTCTGGTTCATTTCAGGACTAATCCCGTGCAGCAAATTTATCATATCTGGCCTTGGAGTTGTCCTCGGACCAACATCTTGAAGAATATTAGGATCCGACCTTTGTACTTCTGGACAGATGTTCAGTACATGTCTGAAATCTGGCCTTAACATTGTAGGATTGACATTTCTTGTTGTCTCCTGAGAATTAATCGATGCAAACCTTGAATGCACATTCTGTTGATCAAAAATGTGATATGACTAAAAAGAAAATGCATATAAAACCTTAGATGACGACGCTTCTAGAGTCTCATGACGCCTTGGAGCTTCAACTCTATTAGTATACATATTCCAAAACAAGGACCACCAATCTGTTAAAAATCCTTCTGGAGGATTGATTTCTGGGAAAACAACAAAATAAAACCATTTAAAACTATGATATGAGAAAACCCAAAAAATATGATTTGAAATCACATTAGAGCTACTGTCTTCATGCTTCGACAAAATAAATTAATGAACTAGTCGTGCATATGAAAATAAAGATAACTTCTTCTATTAATAATGATAAATATTACATAGCCTTTAAAGCAATTTAATACTTTATAATTGGTACTTCTTAAACTAGATAATGTTTGAATTCGGGTGTGATCTGAATTCTTTGTTTGAAGTATTGAAGAATTCTGATTGAAGTGCACGGCAAGGAAAATTCAAGTTTGGAATGCTATTGGAATAATATGTCGAGTTGAAATTTTATTTTGGAAGCCTATTTGGAGTTGGAAATTGGTATTGGACTTGAAGAAGAGTTTGGGATGGAGAAAACAGTTTGAAAAAAAAAAAATTCAAGGCAGAACACCCGGCGCCGAGGCGCCCGGAGGTGGTGCCGGGGCGCCTAGCTCACCTATTTCGGGTTTGTCGCGTTTTTCTCTCTCTTTCAGTTTTGGATTCTATTTTTTTTGGCATTCTACTTCATCAACAACTCTGCAAAGAGGGTTTGGATGTCCCCTACATGTTTCCTATAAATATTAGGCTCTTCTATACAATTTAATAAGTGTGTGAAATTAGGTTACTAGAATTATAGCTAGGATCCATTGTAATTTTCTCACTTCTCCATTATTCTTAAGTCAATAAAATCTCTTAATTCCCCTGCCATATTTCTTGTCTTTATTATTGTGTCATATAACTTCAACATCTCAATCCGATAGTTGGTTTCACAACAAGTGGTATTAGAGCTTGGGTTCGGTCGTTCCGCAGAGCGTAAGGTTTGATTTGTTCGAGATTTTTGTTCGTGATGACTTCTATAAAGTATGATATTTCGATTTTAGATCAGATCACTAGATTTTCGCTAGGCAGGTTAAGATGCGTGTAGTACTCGCACAACTGGATTTGGATGATGCGTTATTGAGAATTAACAAGATACATGCAACTTTGACCGCTGAGAAGAAATTACGGAAGGATAAGAAGATAGTTTCTCACATTCATCTTCATCTATCGAATATTATTCTTTAGGATGTTTTGAAAGAGGTTTCAGCAGCTGCTCTATGGTTGAAGTTGGAGCAATTGTGCATGACTAAAAGTTTAACAAGCAAGTTGAACCTCAAGCAGCGTTTCTACTCTCATCGAATGGCAGAAGGAGGATCATAGGAAAATCATTTGGCTTTATTGAAAGAGATCGTCGTTGATTTGGAAACTTTGGAAGTAGAGTATGATGAAGAAGATTTGGCCTTGATCCTATTGTGTTCGTTACCAGCATCATCTTCTTCATTTAGAAACACGATCTTGTATAGTCATGAAACTTTCACCATAGATGAGGTGTATGATACTTTATATTCAAAAAAGATGAAGCATTTGGTTTCTGAGGCCAGAGATGGAGAATGTCTGGTTGCTCATGGTGGTTCTGGAAGGGGTATATCGAAGTTTAAGTTCAGTAATCATATTTATAACTATTGCAAGAAAAATGGGCACATGAAGAAGGATTGCTACAAATTGCAGAATAAAGAAATGTTGGCTGCAAGTCAATATGGGAAGCAATCAGATACCTCAGGCGAAGTAGACCTCGCAGAGAACATTGATGGAGATCTCTGGGCTATTTCTGACGTCGAGTCTAAACTAGAGGATGATTGGATTCTTGATTCAACATGTGTGTTTCATATGTGTCATAATAAGGATTTGTTTATTACATATGAAACCATTTACAAAGGTGTTGTGGTTATGGGAAACAACGCACATTGTCGAGTTGCTGAAATTAGTACAGTCAAATTGAAACTTTTGGATGGAACAATTAGAACAATTGGTCAGGTTCGACATATTTCTAATTTGAAGAAGAATCTCATCTCGTTGTCTATCCTTGATTCAAAAGATTATGAGTTCTGTAGTGGAGGTGGAGTTTTGAAGGTTTTTATGGATACCCAGGTTGTATTGGAGGGATAGAAAATGTATCAGTTATACATCTTGTACGGTCATGCAGAATTAGAAGAGTCAATCAGCATAGATTCAGTACCGTAGTGGACATTCAGTTTGGTACAATACCTTTAGGAGCTAATAAATGCTTGGATTTGAAGAATACTGCTCAGTGGAGTTCAGGAGATATGAATAATGCCGCTTTGCCACCATCACCTATCGTGCCATTGTATTCAATTGTTAGGGACGGACCCAGTGGAAAATGGCACGTGGATGCTAATTTTGTTAATCATACTTTAAGTGGAGTAGAAGATGTTCAATATAGGAAAGGGCTTTCAGTAAAAGCATTTGGTATTGATTCTGTCTTGAGGTGTGTTACAGCTCATTTTGGTAAATTATAACATCATTATATTTTTTAGGAATTTGAGATAATTCTACAAGAGTAATGCTTAGATTCATTAGAAGAGGTGGAATATTGTGTTTTGTTGAAGAAATTAATTTTTTGCTTTTCGTTGAAGAAGTCAGTTCATTCTTTAGTGAAATTCGTGTCAAGGTGGAGATTGTTAGAATTTGGGTATGACCCTAATTCTTAGTTTGAAGTATTGAAAAATTCTAATTGAGGTGTATGTTAAGGAGAATTCAGGTTTGGAATGCTATTTGAGTCATATGTCAAGTTGAAGTTCTATTTTGGAAGCCCATTGGAAGTTGAAAATTGGTATTTGACTTGAAGAAGAGTTTGGGATAGAGAAAACAATTTTTAAAAAAAAAAATCCAGAATACCCAGCACCGTGGCGCCCACCTCACTTGTTTCGGGTTTTTCTCTCTTTTTCATTTTGGATTCAATTTTTTGGCATTCTACTTCATCAACAACTCTACTAAAAATGTATGAACGTCCCCTACATGTTCCCTATAAATACTAAGCTCTTATATACAATTTAATAAGTGTAAGAAATTAGGTTACTAGAATTATAGTTATGATCCATTGTAATTTTCTCTCTTTTCCATTATTCTTGAGTCAATAAAATCTTTTAATTCATCTGCTATATTTCTTATCTTTATTATTTTTTTTACTTGATCAAATACTTTATTATTGTGTCATATAACTTCGATATCTTAATCCGGTGGTTGGTTTCACAACAAGTGGTATCAGAATTATTTTGGTATTTTATTTGTTTTACAACAATATACCTACAATTATTTGACATTTAATGCCAAATTCGGAGACCGTATGGAATTACATTAAAATGAAACAATTATTTCATACACCAAAAGGACAATAATAGTTCTGAATTGATGAGAATTTTGACATAATTTTCATAGTTTGAAATAGTTTTTTTTTTAAAATTTCTCACCTTATTGGCATAGATTTAGCGTCTCAAATTTATATCATCCACAATAAAATATTTTACAAAAGCCAACAAGTCAATCGAATAAACCTTATAGAAAAATTTACTTAAATCGAGATGCAAAAGAATTATTTTTCAAGAGAAAAAAAGAGGAAAAAGTTGAATTAAATTACAGAATGTAGAAAAGATAGCGAGGAGAATTTATATACCAACATCATTGAGAGCAACTCCAGCCTCTCTAGCGAAATTTTCAGCACTTGCGTGCATGTTATTTCTTGCCATGTAATCATGAATATACAAGTCAAGCCTACAAATCCAAATTAAAAAAAAACACAAAAAAAAAAAAGAATAAGTCCAGAAATTAATGTGTCTCAAGAAGATGCAAGCAAATAATAACAAACCCTTAAAAACTTCAAGAAATTTCTCAAGAAATAAGTAAAATAAAATCAAGAAATCAAGAATTTCTTCAAAAGAAGAAAAACTACATTATGGTATTAACACTTACATCTTTTGAGCATCCCATTCGTCCATGATGACAAAACCAGATTTTCAGAAAAAAAAAAAAAGGAACAATTTTAAAGAGCAAGAAAGGGTTGAAAATCTTGCTTCTTGATAAGCAATAACTTAATCAAATAGGGATCCAGTTTTGTTGATGCCAAGAAAAAATGGCAGCAGCTAGGAAAGATGGGGTGTAGAGGGAGAGAAAGTTAGTGAATGAGCGGCGTGGTGGAAGAGACGTGGCTGAAGTAAGTAAGTGACATAGCCATGCAAAATGGGGCGGAAGGTAAAAGGGTCAAACTTGCTTTATTCCCTATTCATATATTACAGAGAATTCAAGAATAGTTTTTTAGGAAAACAGTGGACCTGGTTTCACAAGTTATTATTATTATTTTTCTATAAATTAAGAGTATTTATTACACCCGAAGAAAAATTTGTTGGTGGGGGAGGGGTTTTTTTTGACACCTAATCTTTGGCTTCACATTAAATTTTATTCACAAAATCTTGACATTTACCTTGACTCGTATATATTGATATAATACTAATTTCCGATATATTTTTTTAATAGTCGTGGATATTCGGGCTAACTTGCGCGTATCTCGACTAATCCCACGGGACACTAATTTCCGATATTGAGTTAATCTATCATTTAATTTTTGATATATTTGGTTTCTAAATTATAATAAAAAAGTTCAAAAATTTCAGGAAAAAAAATAAAAATAAATAATATGAAGTTGAAATTTGATTTTATTTTTTTTATCTGTTCAAATGAGTAGGCAATTAAGGATAATCTCCCAAAGGGGACAATGGGATAAAAATAATAATGTTTGGTGAAATTTTCTCTTTGAGAAATTAATTTTTTGCCTTATCCTCCACAAGTGTTTATTTGCAATGATTTTTTTTGGAAAATTGTATTAAATATTTCAGATATTGTGTCATTGAGTCAATGAGTGTGTAAATTGTAACAAAGCCAGATATTTGCCAAATTTAAACATGATTAAATGGGATGAGACCATATAATAAATTTTCTCTTAACTCATAAATTATCACGAGTTGTAATATTGGCAATCTATCATTGATTGGATTTATCGAGATAAGATTTTTCATGTGGACATCTTCAACGTAAACTATTTTCCAAAATAGTTAAAACTTTTGCGTTATAATATTTAAGGTCAATCACGAATTGAATTTTAAGCAAAATTTTCCAAAACTCTATATGGAATAGTGATTTAGAAATAAAATTTCAAATGACGTATTACAAAAATCAATCCTAATCCACTTTAATCCAATCTCCTTTATTCGTATCCTCCTAATCCTATTTGTCCTAATGCTGTAAGATGTACCAAATGTGTCCTTATCAAAACAAGTTGGTGAAATTAAATTTGCATAATTTAACGATGCAGTGCAAACTAGATGACCCGCCTTAGGGATGGCGACGGGGCGGGGCAACCTCCCCTGCATTTCCACAACCCTCAACTTTTCTTGGAAATCTCTGCATTTTTGAGGACTGGTTCCAAAAGTAACTTGAAGAAGTCTAATTGAATCAACGTTGAATTCTACAACAGTGGTTATTTAGATAAAGCATAGACTTTTTCTAGTATTTGAAGCTTATGATCAAACATGGATTCATTGAACTCGAGAATGTGCTTGAGTGCAACTATAGAACAATCCCTATTGATCATCTTGAGGTGATCAGACTCTACTTGGTTACCTGATTTAAGCCACTTGTTGATCAAATGGCAAAGAGTGTGATTCGAAACAATGGAATCATCGTGGACCTTCAGCATTGTGACAGGACATATTAGGTTACCAGTAGCTAGCCATTTTTCAATGCTCGACCGCTCATACATCTTCTTGTGCATAGGGTTACTGGATCTGTGAACATGTCCAGATTCATAGGGCACCTAAATAAAGGGAATGATCCTATTAACTCCATGTAATAAGCCTATAGGGGAGCCACTTGGTGCCCCTAGTAGTACAACCGTGTGGCCCTGTATACCTAGCATGATTCTTTTTTTCAGAATATATTTTTTTTCTCTCTTCTTTTCAATCACATATTTTTCAATAAAATATTATTAAACGCAACTCATAAACTTTTTCTTCATTTTTAATCACACATTCTTCATCTGTCTACTATTTCAAAATGCACTATACATCAACAATGGGGCTCAAACAAACTTATATACAAATAGATATTTGTCATATAGCATTGGATAAAAAAGAAGACAGAAAAGTCTATAAGATTTTTTTTTTTTTAATTACAAATTGATTTTTTCATAGAGAAAGGCGAGAAACAATGAAAAGCAAAGATAGAGATAAAAAGAAATGAAAATATTAAAAAGATAATAAAAACAACAGGTTAAAGAGAGGAAAATATTTTTTTTTTCCTATAATAGCTCTATGTTAGGAGAAGCAATGAGAAATATTGAAAGGAAAAAAAATCATATACTTTTATATTTATCCTTTTGTGTTAGTTTCAAAATTCTTAGGTATGAATGGGAGACTTTTTATGAGATTTTATATTTATATTTTATGCTTTAAAGTTATGGCATAGAAAAATATATAAAAATCTTTAAAAGTTATTCACATTTTGAATATTGCACGACTTTTAAAAACTCTTGATTTAGTCCTTATTTGATCCCTATTTTTTTAAAAAAATATATTTTCCTCTTTTTTTTAACCTAACATTTTTCAATAAAATAATATTACACGTAAATTCAAATTTTTTTCTTATTTTTTAGAGCCTATACAACATTATAGTAAAAAAAAAGTGTTTTGAATTGTGATTTTTAGGAGAATGCATAGTTAAATAATAGGGAAAAATTTTTGGTATACGTGTTGAATATTTTATTGAGTGAATGTGTAATTGAAAATGATCATGTGGCAAATCGTAAAATAAATTAATTGGTGTCAAACATGCACTTAAGTACACATGCTTCATCAATTTATTATTCCAAAATGCCTCGTGACTTTAATGAGCTTTAAGAATGTCCATATTGAATACCTCAAAACTATAAAATCCTAAAAGTTTTTGTTAAATACACCTAAACATTTAAAATCTTTAAAAGTTTCAAGAATTTTGATTGAACACACCCTCTAATTAATTTAGGGTACGTTTGATTGCGGATGAAAATTATTAATTAAATGTGTTTGATTGATTTAATTTTGAACCTAAAAAATATTATACTTATCCATTTTTTATTGATGGGTAGATGAGAGAAATTGGATAGATGAGAGAGAGAGAAAGAGAAGGAGATAGTGAAATACTTGGAAAATAAAAAACACCATTACCTAAAGAAATAGTTTTTTATTCTTGAGGGAAATATGGTCACATAATCAAAAGTTAGAAAATATTTTTTATGAAAAAAATTGTCAATCAAACGCCCAAAAAGTAGGAATTTGAGTGAAAAATTAACATTTTACATGTAAAATAAAGTCAATCAAACACACGCTTAGAGTAATCAAATTGTTTTTTAATTGGGCAGTAATTATATTAATTTTTAGAATTGGCACAAAACATCTCTACCTTTAGGGTGAATTTCGGAAACCGTCCTTACCTTTCATTTCATGCGTAGGACGTCCTTACTTTCAACGTTTCTGTGCGCCGACGTCCTTTTCACTTCTTTTTAACGATTTTACCCCTCATTCAAGTAAAACAAAAAGAAAAACTAAAGAATTAATTGCAACTATAACCCCGAATTTTTAAAACCTACTTTTCAGTCACAAGATACTAATTTTCTCATCAACAACCACTTCCAACTGTTGGAAGCCAAAAAATTTGGCCAAATCTAAAATTCTTTTAATTGGCTGACAAATTGAATCAATTGATCCATTACCCATGGTATTAGTAACTTTAATTGAATGTTGGTGGTTACAATTTTTTGATTGGGGCAGTGGGTAAACAGAAATCAAAAAATGGAGCCAACACCGGGCGCTAAACCTGTTTCTGAACGAACAGCAATTTTCCGGCCAAATTGAGGTTGGATGCGCCTTGAGAAGTAGGTGCTAGTGGTGGTGGTTCTCGATCGTCATTCGTACCACCGGTGCCAGAAAATCCTTTTGAAAGTTGCATTTTCACTGTGTTCGAAGCTACCACATGCTGATGTTGATTCTGAGCAATAGGGGACGGTTGGGGACAATGGACAGGGGTATCTTGAGGTGGAGAATCGATTGGAATGTTGGACTTTGCATGGGTGTCGCCGAAAAAGGACTTGTCGGTCGGTTTTAGCAAAATGAGCAGGCTGTTTTTGTCCAAATTTGCGGCGATTTCAGGGCTGTCCGAATCCATTGATGCCAGTATCCGGTGGTTTTGGTGGTCGGACGGTGGCTGAAAATAGCTCCGAAGTTGGCGGCTGGTTGGGGACAAAAAATTAGTAATTGTGACTCAAAAGTAGGTTTTAAAAATTTAGGGTTATCATTGCAATTATTTCTTTAGTTTCTCGTTTCTTTTCTTTTTGTTTCAATTGAATGGAGGGTAAAATCGTCAAAAAGTTGTGAAAAATGATGTTCAGCGCACAAAAAGTGGAAGGTAGGGATATAAATGCCAAGAAATGAAAGGTAATGACAGTTTCCGAAATCCACCCCAAAGGTAGGAACGTTTTGTGCTAATTAGCCTATTTCAATTAGAGGCGGGCAAAAAAACCGGAACAATTAGAATCAAGCCAGAATCGATTCAATGTTGAGCAAGTTTTCAATTGATTTTGGTACTTAGAGCCTAGAAATGAGAATTCAAACCATTAGAATCATTTCTAAATTTTTATTTAAAAATAATAATAATAACATTTCCTCTTGATTCATTGAACAAAGTTTAAAAAAAATAAAATCATTAAACTTGCTCTTTTCTATTGAAAGAATTATTACTTTTCAGATTTCCGTTTCCACCAAACAGAATCATGTCCGTACCTAATTTCAATTTAAAGCCTTGCACCATTTATAGAGATGACAAAAAAATTCGTTCAACATGATACTCGTGGGCGCTATCCTAAATGGGATGGGGATTACTTTCCTAATTGTGTAAATGGGGCGAGGACGGGATGTAGGTCATTGTCCCAAAGTGAGTAAGGGATGGGTATGAGAAATATAGTCATCGCCCCTTTTAAAATTAATTTTAAATTTAAATTTTTTATCAAACAAAAATAAAAGATTTATCATCATTTTTACAGAGAGCAAAAATTGTTCTTAACAATTAGAAAAAAATATTAATAATGTTTATAGTGTGCGTGATGGATATTATTGAGAAAAAATATATTTTAAATAGTGATATAATATGAAATATTTGGTTAAAAAGTAAAGAAAAATTATTGATGTAATAAAAATATTGTTTCCTTGAAGAATGCGGGATTAAAAATGAGTTTTAAAAGATTGCATTTTGAAAGAACGTGGGTAAAATAAGGAATTAGTAACTAAAGAAATAAAATAAATTAAAATAAATAAATAAGAAAAATGTAAATGGGCTTAAGAGGACTTCATTTAATGAGCCTAGTCAAATCAAGTTTTAGTTTAAAAAGTCCACTAACTAAGTTTTTTAGTTAGATGGCCTCAAGATACAAAGAAAAAGAAAATACAATTTGTAAATTACTAAAATATCCTTGTATGAAAAATGCATAGATTTTAAATTATTGATGTAATAAAAATATTGTTTCCTTGAAGAATGCGGGATTAAAAATGAGTTTTAAAAGATTGCATTTTGAAAGAACGTGGGTAAAATAAGGAATTAGTAACTAAAGAAATAAAATAAATAAAAATAAATAAAAAAGAAAAATGTAAATGGGCTTAAGGGGACTTCATTTAATGAACCTAGTCAAATCAAGTTAGGGTACTTACAAAAATACTCTTAAAATTAGGAGTGTTTTAAAAAATCATATGAAAGATTTTTAGGAAGTAAAAAATACTGTGTAAAATGAAAAAAGTGACACAATATCACTTTTTTTATAAAAATTGTCATTTTTTTTGAAAATCAAAAAAGTAACATAAACTCAAAAAAAGTGACATGATTCAAAAAAAGTGACACTCAAAAAAGTGACAAAACACTAATCAAAACCTNTTAAAGTTCATTGAGTAAATCATGACATAAGAATAAGTTCAATGACTAACGAAACAATTTAACTCCATTTCCTACCACAAGATCGCAGCAATGCACGACTCTTTCTATTTCTATACACAGGTTAAATTTACCGGATAATTTAGCCCTTGATGGACGTTATTTGAGAAAAAAAATATTTTGAATAATGATATTTTCGAAGAAGTGGTTAAAATATAGTGGAAAAAATTGAATTTACTTGTGCAGAATATTTGATCATGTGCATAATTGAAAATGAACCCTTCAAGTAAAAGATTTCTCAAAATAATGACATTCAAACATGGGCCTAATGCTATATAAGTTCATCAATACCTAAATTTACTAGATTTTCAAATATATCTCTTCCTTTCGGGGACTTCATTTAATGAGCCTAGTCAAACCAAGTTTTAGTTTAAAAAGTCCACCAACTAAGTTTTTTAGTTAGATGGCCTCAAGATACAAAGAAAAATAAAATACAATTTGTAAATTACTAAAATATCCTTGTATGTAAAAAGACATAATGCCCTAAATCAATTTTGGCTTTTTTTCTTCCACAATTGGGTCAACAACTCTTTGCAACTTTTCTTAATTTTTATTATTATCTTCTCTTCTTCATCAAATCCTAAAATTCACTATTAGCATCCTCTTAAACACTCACTTGGTTGAAGTAAATAATCAAAACTTACAATATTCTTGATGAGCATTTGAAGAAGAAGAGAAGACAATGTTAAATTTCAATATTTTGACTACTTTCTTTTTTAATTTTTCTGAATCACGTGTTGTGATTTGTGT